GAAGAACGCATTACAGATAGACAGACTATCAGGGAAGCCATGGCCCTGAAAAGCTCAACTCAAATACCCCCCCACCCCCCATCTGGGAAGCCATGCTCATACAACAAAGAATCCTGAAAGAAACAGAATGCCTGCCATCATCCATCTTTTGCTTTAATAGTTGGAGAAGTTACAGCAGTCTTCCCAAAATAGGTTGTTTCCATATGTGACTACTGCCTCTGACATAATTTCCCAGACAGCTGGAGAAGACGAACTTAGTATGGAAGTAAGGATCCAGTGAATATAGAAAGCGCTGTGTTTTTTTTAAAAGGGTGCTTTTCAAGCGTAGCACATTCTGAGTTGTAGAAGACAAGTATATCAAATCACATTTTAGCAACTGAGGGACTAAATCTTGATGTCACTGCCATTATAATACCCAACACATAAATTGGTGGAGATGAGTTTTCTCATTCTACCAAAAAGCAAGATTGAACACAGTCCATTATTTTCTCTTTATAATTCAGCTACCTTTTTCATCTTTGTTTTTTTATCATGAATATTTGTAAATAAAAGAATGCTGAAGTAGGAAAAGATGTTACTTTCAAAAAGAATGAAGCTGTATAATATACTGGTAGGGTGATCAAAGACAGTTCTAGAGAGATACTGTAAAAACATTCTGTTTAACTCATCTTACAGTCTCCTTACATTCTATCCAGCTGGTTCAGCAAGCCTTTAGTCAAGACAGCTTGGACATGGTACATCCAATGCCTTTGGCAGCATTAAAAAAAAACCTCTTTAATGATGGCTTGCCTTACTGTGGTAGCTGGTTATAATTAAAATTTGTCAACAGAAATGGAGTTCTCTATTTAAGAAAATAGGCTGCAATTGATCCTGCCCCTCCCCTGAAAGCTTTTGGTTTTTCTAGGAATATTGTACACAACTAAATGACCTGTTCTGTGTCACTATACTTCGTATATATCTTTAGGCCTAGTGAGGGGAAAATTGTTCCAGCTCGACCTCCTCCACCTAAGGGTGCCCCAGGAAGACCACCACCACCAAAGTCCACCAAATCCTCATCACAAACTGACAGATTTTCTCGCTCAGCGTCAGACATGGCTCTTCACAAGAAATCCAGTCTGTTTGGATTAGAAGTCAATCAAACAAAGAGTGATGTCATTAAAAATCTTGACCCAGCTTTACCTCCTCGACCCAAACCAGGTCATCCTCTGTATAATAAATACATGGTGAGTTGGATAGCAACATACTTTTGTTTATTCCAGTTCTGATTTTAAAAGAAACATATTGGTCACAATTATTTTAAATGTGTTAAATGTTCAAGAATGTTCAAGAAGTTAAGTTCAAGTTAAAATACAAGGAAAGGTTTTAGATAGGTTCCAGACATTGCTTCAGACAACAGTAATAATATCTAACCAGAAAACTATTCAAATATTTTAATTCCTATTCAGTGCCATTGGGCTTTTGCCATTTTGGTATTATGGTGGCCAAGTTGTCCTTGTTGATGCTGCTAGCATTTGCAGACAAATAGCAGTTGGCACAAGGATAGGTCCATATTGATAGGAGATAAGCAGAACTTAATTTGAGCTAGGTTTAACAGTGATATAGCTACAGAGCCTTTCTCCATTCCATAAATAAATTCTTGGAATCTTTCAAGTTGGATTGCCTTCCTTTTGGATTTGCGTCTCTTTGAATTATTTTCCTTATCCCATTCAGAAATACATAAAAATGAAAGGAATTGATTCTCTGTTAAAGGGCTTGGCTTCTAGGCAAACTTAAGCCGTGGAGGTCTCATTTAACAAATGAAGCACTGAAAGTAATTAGTCCTAGGGACTGACTACATACCAAAACCCTAATTCACTTTACATTTGTATTCACCAAATAAACTAAATTTGTGCAGAAATCTGAATGCAAAGGAAGAAAGTGATCTATTTTATTGTTCTTGTTTTGTTTTTTCACAATCTATAACAAAACATTAAGTTGACTAGCAGATTGACAAAAAAATCATTTTGACTACAATACTTAATAGATTAATTTGTCTTAAGCTTCCTGTGCCCCATGGAATTGCCAAGGAAGATATTCCTCCCCAGAATACAGGACATCTTTCTTGCAAGGTAAAAACTGTTGTTCTAGTTGTGGATATCTGCATATATGCTCATGTAGAATATTAAATTGTGAATCTTATTTTTTTAAAAAAACTGCAAAGCAAGGAGATGTGCTAGTGCTGGTGGACAAGGTTGACAACAGTTGTGTTGAATGTCAAAAAGGAGAAGAAAAAGGCAAAGTTCAGTTGTCTCAAATGCAGATAATAACTCCACTGGACGAGAGTTTAAAAAGCAGACAGAAGGTATGAATTTCATGTATATCAAAGACTACATATAAAAAATGAGATAGAGAATAAATACAGTTTTAAGATATATAAGGAGTATAAGGAGATATATAGGTGCAAGATACAGATATGACCCAGGGCCCTTGTCTGTCTTTAAAAATTACTTCAGGGTAATATCCTTGTTTAATATAGACCCAGTAAAGCAGTTGATACATCCACACAAAAATATAATATTCTTGGTATAGTATGGGACTATTTAACATGTTGTCATTTTGGATGATATATATGATATAATAAAGGTAAAGGTATTCCCCGTTGACAAGGTTGTCAAGTCATGTCCAGCCATAGGGGGCAGTGCTCATCTCTGTTACTAAGCCGAAGAGCCAGAGTTGTCAAAGACTACTCTGTGATCATGTGGCCATCATGAATTCACAGAACACTGTTTACCTTCCCACGGAAGTGGTACCTATTTATCTACTTGCATCTGCATGCTTTCAAACTGCTAGGTTGGCAGAAGCTGGGACTAGAGACAGGAGCTCACCCCATCATGCAGCACCTGGACTTTGAACTGCCAACCTGCCGATCTTGCAATCAATAGAGTCAGCATCTTAACCACTTGAGCCACTGCATATTATATAATATGAAGCCCTTATCTGTTGGTCTTAAAAAGATAAGCATGGATTTTGTGTTTTGAAATATTTTGCTCAGTTTCCCCAAGGAGACTTAGGACTTTACAGACTGCCAGAAATAGTGCAGCTTGAGGCCACTAACTGTCCTGGCTCAGTGCTAGGGAATCATGGGAACTGTAGTTTATTGTTGCACCAGAGCTCTCTGACAGAGATGGCTCAATGTCCCAGAAAAAAATACAATTCCCATGATTCCCTAGCACTGAGCCAGGACAGTTAAAGTGGCCTCAAGGCCCTTAGTTTCACTGGTGCTCTTATAGGTTTAGCTTCTCTGAGAACTGATTTAAAAAGTTCCCAAATAAGAAAAAAGCTTAGGTAGGCACATATTTCATTTAAAGTAACAAAGCAACTTCATGCAGTTTTCAAAGAGGTGATTTTCTTTTCGCTGAGACATGTACTAGGCTGGTTTAAGACCATTGATTTTCAATGAGATCAAGCAGCATTAAAATCCGGATTAGCTGAGAAAAAGAATCAGACCCTGCATTTTATGTCCAGTAGCTTCTTTTAATGTGTCATTTAGCAACATAATTGAGTGAAGGATTATTTCAATCAGTGAAGAGTGTTCTAAACCAAAATTAGGTTTCCCAACAAATTATAGTTCAAGCATCATAATTTCCAAATCTGCTATTTTTCAAGGATTCAGACAATATGTGGAATGTTTCTGATCCAAGTGCTCCTCATGCAATAGTGCTGCATAATTTTATAGCAGGTGAGTACAGACACATGACAACTATGTATGTTTAAAGATATTTAAATTCTGCTTTTTTTTCCAAGCATGCTTTACAGATGTTAGTTTACTTTTTGAACTCCTGACTAATCTGATTCTTTCATCAATCCGTGAGAGTTTTGATATCAGATTATATTGCAGGCCAGAGCTGGTATGTCACCATGGAGGTTCTAAGCTACAGCTTCTCCAAAAAAACAATAATATACTTGAGACGCATTCTCTTCATAATTTTCTGATTACCATCATAATTGATTTATAAACTAGTCAGGCAAGATTAAAGATACTACAAGGCTGCAATGCAATGGTTAAAAAAGGCAATATGTATATGTAAGGCTTCTGAAAGATTTGTTGCAGAGGAGCATGACGGTAATGGTATATTAGTATATTGTAACACAATGAAAAAGGCAGGAGCACTCCTTTAATCCTTTTCACAGTATAGTCCCCTTTGCCCATTGTGAATGATGTCAGATTTCCATTTTTATTTTGAAACAGGAATTCTTTAAGCTGGTGGGTATGCTTTTGAACAAGCACCAGTCCTAATACTGATCTTTCAAGGGCCCCATTGCTTACACCAGGGGTAGGCAACCTTTCCCCTTTAAGGGCCGAGGGACTTCAGCTCCCAGAAGCCTCAGCCATGTTGGCCAATAGTCCCATGTTGGCCAATAGCTCCTGGGATTCTGGGAGCTGAAGTCCCTCGGCCCTTAAAGGGGAAAGGTTGCCTACCCCTGGCTTACACTCTTCTATTCTGATGACTGGCCATTTGTACCAGTTTTCTGTTTTTTTAACTTGTTGTGTGTTTGATGAAAGCTTAAGCTAGAAAATTATTTTTCTTAATTAATCTCACAGTTAGGCCTTCTACAGCATTCCTTTAGATTTTGTTATACCTATGTCTTTGAATGCTGTCAGAGTTTGTAAGAAAAATATCTCTTCTTAACCTAAAACTGCTAAATTTGCTCAAGAAGCTTTGTGAAGGGATTCTGTCAAAAAGCTTTTGGAAATTCAAGTAAGCACTGCCTACTAGATCACTGAAAATTTCTGGGTCCATTTAAATAATCATGCCCACTTGAATTTTGAGAAAGAAGTAAAAAAGGGAGTTTGGCATCCTTACTTTTAGCTGAGTCCCTTGACACATTTGAGGGAAGTTTCAAATGTAAAGTGCTGTCCTTAGTGCTTTGTAGCAAGTGAGGTAAATGCTTAACCAGTCCTGTACAGAATAGCAATATTCAAACTTGCTCGGCATATCAGGTCTGCTCAGATAAATTTTGCCTGTGGTCTAGTGGTTCGAGCATTGGACTATGGCTCTGGAGGCCAGGGTTCAAGTCCCAGCTTGGCCATGTAAGCCCACTGAGTGACCTTGGGCAAATCACATTCTCTCAGCCTCAGTGGATGGCAGTGGCAATGGCAAACTCCCTCTGAAGAAATTTGCCAAGAAAATCCTGTAAACCTTAGGGTTGCCATAAGTTGGAAACGACTTGAAGGCACACAACAACAGACAGAAGCAGAAGCAGTGTCATGAAAAGAAGAGCCAGGAGACTTTAGGTTGTAAGTGATATTGCAGCTTCAAATGCCTTAGGGAATGTGGCAGTGCATCCTTCCCCACTAAAGTTTCTTGAACCCATGGAAACTGCAAGCTGCTTAAATTAGCTTAAATTGGGCCCAACCTTCTTGGAGGGCTTTGAAAAGGTGCACAAAGAGTCCTAATTTTTCCCTAATGCAATCCCTACAAAGTAAACCCCTTGTCATGTGTTACAGGCTGGCCGCTGAGAATGATATATAAATATTATGTCACAAAATAAAGATAAGTAAGAATAGGATCTGTCTCTGATCAGACAGTTGGAGGCTGAGAATGATATAAATCTAGCTCAGGAGAGATAAAAGCCAGGCTGAGTGTCAGCCTCACATACAGATATGTCTGTTCATAACAGCTGCATTGATGCCAATAATACTATTCCTGACGTGACCCAGACTGCACTGGTAAGCAAGAATGTCTGATCTCAAATAAGTTAGATAAAATGGCCAAGAATATTATCTTCCTTGGATGCCTGTATGTGACCTTCACAGATAGTATATGGGTTAGGACGCCCCAATGTTGTATAAGATCTATGATGTGTTAGTTACAATGAATGTAATAAATGTATGTGACTAGACACTGAAAGTCTGTGTTTCTCCCTGAGAGGAGTGCTTATTTGTATATATATAATTCTATCTCTCTCTCTCTCTGTATAATAAAAAAAATGAGAGCCAGTGTGGTGTATGGTTTGAGCATTGGACTATGACTCTGGAGACCAGGGTTCAAATGCTGACACAGCCATGTACACTCATTGGGTGACCCTGGGCAAGTCACTCTCTTTCTCAGTTTGAGAATGGCAAGCCCTCTCTGAAGAAACTTGCCAAGAAAACCACATGCTAGGTTTGCTTTAGGGTCACCATAATTTGGAAACGATGTGAATACACACAACAATAATATAATAAAATAGCCTAAAAGACTAACAGAGAGCCCGTTCGTTCTCCCATAACATATTTGGCGATTCAAAAGGAATGGTGCAAAACTGAATAAGAACAACTTTACTTTCACATCATTCTTTTTGAATAAACTGGTATATCCTGAGATTACAATACTTAAGAATGGATGTTGATGTTAAATCTGCCTGTTTAGACTTCACTGGGAGCCCAGGCAACTAGATAATGACAAGGGGAACCTCCAAACAGATACAGTTTAGCTGCCAAAGACCCCTCAATCCGTTATTCTAAAGTGAGGGAGTGAGGACTCACACTTGTTTCATATGCTTAATGCAACAAGCAGGTTGTTGGCAGGAAACCACTTGGAACCACTGCAGTGCCTGGTATAGATGGTGCATGTATACTGTTTTATGAAACAGATGCCCACAATAAAAAAATATATACTTCAGTTTCCGATCCTTTAATTTTCCATTGCCACCATTCATTACTTCCAACCCCAACACACACACTCAGTAGCCAGAATACCAGAACATAAACAGTCAAGAAGTTCTGTGCAAAGTTTGAAATTACTATAATGCTTAAAACATAATTTCCATAAACATAGTGTGACATTTTATTATGTAGAAGATGTTGTCAATATGCTTTACTAATTACTGGCTTTTTTGAAGAGGCAGTGATTTTGTTATCCTGCTTTGTTTCCCTGTTAAAACCCAGTTGGTAGTTGCCCTGTTTTCCACTTCCAATTCAGTTAATTCACTCAGAATGACTCAGACCTGATCTTGAGGTTCTGCGTCTAGTCAGGAACAACCAAGAAGGAAATAGAGATTTAAAAAATGTGAAGTCTTGATGCTTTTGCTATCAGCTGCTCCACCATCAAACTGACCAGATACACCTGTGTAGGTGAGTTTCTGGAGTCTTACTGCCTAAGAAGACCCTCACAGCTTCTACATCTCTGATTTTAGTTCCACTTCCTCTTCAGGCTCTTGCATGAAGTTTTGATGCTATCTTCTTGTTCCTCAAGCTTTTGACTGTCTGAACTGGTGATTGGATAATGTTGGATGGATACTATCCAAGTATATTTACTAAGATGAACAAAGACTCTCATAAGCACAGAGTAGGCTGCCTCCTCCACAAAATGGCTAATCCAACTCCCTAAAATCATACCAGTACTATGGCTGGCATCCTCTTAGTGATTTACATTGGCCTAAATCCAGCTTGAGCATCAGATGAATAGCTGGCTGTGTTCCTGTAGCCAGGTGCAGAACAGACAGGCTCTAGAGGTCTTGGTGGATGATGCCATTGTTCTACATCTGGCTATAGGAACATAGCCACATGTGTTTCTGATTCCCTGTGCTCTCCACAGGTCACTAAATAGATATGGAGGAGGATTCCTGTAGCTAAGAGGAGGGTTTGGGGTAGGGAAAAGAGTGATGTAATATAATGACACATGTGGAAATTTTATACTATGTCTCCATCTCAGAATCTCAGCCTATATTACAAAAACACATTCATAAATTTCACACAACTTCAAAACTGGAATTTATGTATTTTCCACACATGTTTAGTTAATGTAATGCAGTAGCTTACTTAATGGAGATCCATTTCCAAACTACAATATAGTTGCTTTTGGCAGTACTATTTTTTTAGTGTTTTCTAAGCTTTGGTTTGTTTTTGCATATAGTATTTGTATTAAATAAGGTTATATTTAGCAAGATGTATAATGTACAGTAAACCTTTTCCCCTTCCACAGAACAAACTGGTGATTTGAACCTCAACTCTGGCGAGATAGTTTATCTTATGGAAAAAATAGATGACGAGTGGTACAGAGGAAAATGCAGGAATCACACAGGGATTTTTCCTTCTTGCTTTGTCAAAGTTATTGTAAGTAGGCCACTTTGAGAAAAATATAGTGTATTCCATCTGTATACACATCCTGGTTCTAATTGAATTTCTTCCCTGTGCATGTTATTGAGCATGTCATGTAGATAAATCTTGCTTGAGTGCACAAAGCAGATATCAAGTTGTTTGTGTGGTACAGCAAGACTGTTTAATCTTGCAATTCTGCCTCACTGTTTATGGGCCTCATTTTCATGATAATTTCAAGTTAAGTGAGAACACATCCTTTACTTAATTCAAGTATGCTCATAAATCATGCCACAGCAGTTTCCCATTTAGATTTTTCCTGGTGCATCAGATAAGAATATCTTTCACTGCTGCTCTTAAATGTTTTGCTTCCCCATCAAGGTGTTTTGGTTCTATGAAGTCAGGTTGCAGAAGATGCCATGCTATATGTCATGAAGGTAGTCAATAAGAAATGATAAGAAATTTAGGGAGCTTCATTTTGAGAGTTCTTATCCTCTGTCCACGCTCAACATTTCTATAGTCAGTTAATTTAAGAAAAAGTTTACTTCTTTTCTTAATATAAACAAGTTAAAATCTTCATTAACAGCAGACATGGGCCTCAAATACTTGTAACGACAACAAAAAGCTGTTTTCAAAAATCACAAGAGCTGAATCTTCTTGGTTACTTGTGTTGGTGTAACTGGGGACCAACTCTGCTACTTCCTTGACTAAAAAGTCACTGGTGGGCTGTGGGGGATCACAGTCAGACCATTGCCATTTTACTTTGCTCTGTTTCAGATTTCTTACATAACTATACTTACAGAGTTGCATTCTCTGCTAGCATTGACTAGGATCTCTGCAGATCTAAATAATAATAGACAAGGGAGCAAGGACTAACATAGTTCTCTGGAAGGGGGAAATAAGCATCCTGTCCTCCTATTTCTTACATGTGTTTGACACTAATCATAGGAAAAATAAATCACAAAATATTCTCTTTTGCATGGATATGTCCACATAGACATAGAAATATCCCAAACACACATTCTGTTTTCATAAATAGCAGGGGCTCTAAGCAGACAATTCCAAGGAGCTTACATGTGTCAGGAAAAACCTGGCTTCTTGTAAGATTGCTGAAATTAATTAATTTGAAATAGGAATTAGACACCTGTTTACTACCAAAAAAAATCAAAAAAACTGGATGCCATACCTATCTCTCTGGGTTGAAATCAAAACTCTGCATTAGAAATCGATAAGGTAAAAGGTAAAGGTCTCCCCTTTGACATGATTATTCAGTCATGCCCAACTGTAGAGGGCAGTGCTCATCTCCGTTTCTAGCCGAGGGAGCCAGCATTGTCAGAGACGACTCTGGTGGTCATCTGGCCAGCATGACTGCACAGAAAGCTGTTACCTTCCCACCAAAGTGATACTCATTTATCTCCTTGCACTTTTACATGCTTTTGAGCTATCAACTAATAGCATACAGTTACTGTATATACTCTACTATAAGTTGACCTCGTGTATAGGTCAACTTTTGGGCCCAAAATTTAAGATTTTTATATGACCCATGGATAAGACTAGGATCAGAGTTAAAAGGGGAGCCCTGCTGGGGAGACGCTGCAGGGCATCACCCTTTCCAGCCGCTCCCCAGCTGGGCTTTTCCCTGTGGAAGGAGCCCAGCTGGGGACAGGCTGCAGGGCAATCAGTTGCCCTTCCCAGCTTCTCTCCAGCTGGGCTTTCTCCTAGGGAAATAGGTACCACTTCAGTAGGAAGGTAAACAGCGTTTTGTGCACTCATGCTGGCCACATGATCACAGAGTAGTCTCCTGACAACGTTGGCTCTTCGGCTTAGTAACGGAGATGAACACCACCCCCTGCGGTTAGACATGACTTGACAACCTTGTCAACAGGGAATACCTTTACTTTTACCTAGGAGTTTAAGTTTTCAAAGACACATAAAGTTGTATATGGAGTGCATTACTTTATATAGGATTAAATCACCTGAAATCCAAATATATTAGCTTTAAGGTTAAGC